GTTAAGTTGCCTTGCCTGTTTCCATGGGATCAGAGTTACGTTGGGGTTGGAGTTGGGTTGAACATTACCAACTGCACAAAGTCAACTACCATATTCTGACATGTAAAGCTGAGCAATATTAATTTTAGAATATCAAAATAACATACAAAAATTATTTCTCAGATTACAAGATCACCGACAAAAAGTAATAGTAACCTCTTCTACACCGATTAATACAGCACGTGATACACAATGCAATTTGGATTTGTTATGTTGGCAACACGAACCCGACTCTTGTCGTTTCCACCGAACCTCAACTGAACGCTACCCTAAAATTTTGTAGGGTAGAGTTCAACTAAACCTTTGGCGTTTCCACCGTACAAGCGCTGACCCCAACCCGACTCTAACCCGACTCTGACCCGATTTGGACCCTCGATGGAAACGTAGTCATTGATCTTCAATACTCTCAAAACATTCTCAGATGTTTCTTCGTCGTTGCTAGTTCCAAACAATCCCAGCCTCTGAAAGGATCTGAGTTCACAGGTCAAATGCCTAGGGACATTTTTATCTATGAGGGTGATACTCCTTTATAGTCTGTTTTCACCTTTGTGATTATTTATATGGTGAAACAAAAAGAAGAAACAGTAACAACTAGTGATGGTATGGGACAAAGACATGATAAAAAAAATACAATGAATATATATTTTTGGCGTTACAAAATAGTGCATGCGCGTCACTATAGACCTCTTATACAACAGAAAATAAATATTCCAGTCCTCCAATTCCTAGATTTTCAAATAATGAGTATACGAAATAAAAGACCACTGGATATATATTATAATCCAGGGTAATTGAAAACTAGAATTCCTCAGTTCTGCTAACCTACTATCTAACCAAATTGTTCTAGGAACTTTGTTGAAAACGTGACGATCGCTGCGCTATAGTACTTCGAACGCCATCTCTAAATATTTTCTCATGTAAGAACATCAAAGAAAATAAATAACTTTTAGGTTGCATCAGTTTTTTAAATAGCAGGATATTATGATAATTTATTTATATAAAATATATTTTTTTATATAAATAACAATAATAATTTTGAATGCAAATCAAATATATATAAATAATAATACCTAAATGACACGACGTTTATTGCACATTGCTGGGTAATGAAAGTACAGTCTTCAAAAAAATATAGGCTTATATATTAAACACTATTTTTTTTATATGATCATAAAAGAAAATGATCTATATATGTAGATCAATAGTACAAATATTATCATCAAAGTAATCGATAAATATAACCGTTATATATAAATAATAGATTGTAATAAGCTGTTTAAAAACAGGAAGACACAAATATTGTTGTTTACAATTTTAATATTCAATGGGTTTAAAATAAAATCTTTGAAAAATGAAATAAAAAATAAACTTTTTTAATATTTATATACACATAGTTAATTTAAATCCGAAAACAAAAAGTGTAAATTTAAGAACGCCCTCTTTGGTTGATCGGCTTCCGTTAAACACTTTAGTTCATGAAATGGCAGTGTGATGCATTCTTAAGCTGGGTGAAGTGAATTCTCTTTGGAGGATTATTAGAATTTCAAAACACGAAAGAAGTACTCTAAATTATTGAAGATACCGATCAACAAAGCAATTAGTGACTGTATGCAATGTCCTCTAATACAATTTCTGAGGTATATGAATTCGAATGAATGGATATTCAGAAACTTTTACTAGTAGTTAACTATTTTGGATGACAGTTGGACCATATAATTCTTTCAAAGTAAATGTTTTAATAGAATTTATTCGAAAAATGGAACAAAAATATTTTGAGATGCGGATTTGTGGATTACAATGTAATTTTGAGAAAATACAAGAAATAATTTCCAACATTTTCTTAATATTTATATAATTTATATTCATTTGACAATCTTATTAATTAGAGCTCAAATAATACGTATTTTAGTGTTTTAGCAACGTTTAACCACAGTAATGTATACATATTTCTCTAATTTGATTCTATTTTGTACTAGTTTCTATCATATTCTAATATTGACAATTAATTATCTTATACCATTACAGAAATTAAATTTGAAAATCATACAAATTATGAATTTAAAATATAGATAATGTAAAGGAAAAGTTATTTATACGTTAAATTAAAATGATGTTTTTTTCTTTAAAATATAAACATATTTTTGTATATACATAGAAACAATTATTCTTTATATAATTTTAAATATTGGGTTGATACAAAAATAAATGTGGTTTTTATTATTGCAAACTTAAATGTTAAATTGCCGCAAACATTTGTAATTATGTGTTACAAAAATATATTGCTAACCATTCTTTTCTGTATTTATTCTTATGTACTTTAAAGTGCATGATAAAAGATGAAAAGAAACAAGTTTGGATAATTCCATTATTTGATTCTAAATTGAAATTCGATTTACATTCGATTGAAATTCAAGACATACAGAGCGATATTGAAAAGCTAGATATTTTGCTTTGTAATATGCTAATTCATATTTTATGAAATGATTAGTTGTTATTTGATATAGTTAACTATTAAAGCTTAGAACTTTCTGTTTTGCATTACTCATTCTGTTAAAAATAATACATTTTGTATTATCATGATGTTCTATTAAGGTTCTAATTACGAATATACTATTTGAAAGTTAATACTTAAAAACTATACTTATTTTTGCATCAATCCAAAATGTAGATATTTATATAATTCTTTTCATATAATTAAAAACTTGTATACTATTTACATATAAACTTATATATTTGGTTTAATAAAATTCCATTCAATTTAAATGCTTCGAAAAATTGTAAATAATTGCATTGTTCTATATCGTAATAATTACAAAGTTTAAATGTAAATTACATTAACAATTCATCATAAAAATGTATTCTTAATGGTTTAATTTATTTAAACTAAAAATTTGAAGTAAATCACATAATTTTGTATTATATGATTGTGAGAAAACCATTTAGAAATGTTATCGATATTTGTATTCGTTAATATTTCTTTATATGTATATATGTGTAAAGAGAATAGAAATGATTTCAATTAAAATAAATTTTTATTGAATCCTTTTTATATAATAAAGTATTATTTTAAATATAAATGTATACACTAACATTTATTATTTATGAACTTACATTAATCCTGGTTAGTATGACAAATTATTATATCAGTGTTTCATGTGTGCTTGTTTCTATCATAATTTTTGTGCATTACATTTTAATAAAATCTTATAAAACATGTTTTGAAATATTTTATACAATGTACCTGTACAAGAATGTTCTAATGTTACAAAAAATAGTATATCTATAAAATATATGCCTTATTTTATAAGTCATTATTGTATAATAAAATTGTTACATGTGTTGTTTCTTATTTTGTTCTTAATATACAGGAAATATTTTGATTATACTTCATATAAATGATTGTATAGTGATAATGGCACCAAGAAGAGGAGAAGAGATGCAGATTAAAAGAAGAGCAGCTACAGGTTGTAAATTACCAAATCAATTACCAGTTGGAGAAATATTAACTGATATTACTCAAAACAAATGGAAATTGGGACATACAATAGGATATGGTGGATTTGGTGATATATACTTAGGTAATATTTTTTATTTTTTATTTTCCATTAAATTACATCGATATTAAAATTTATTTATGTATTTCAATTAATTTTTCAACTGATATTTTAAACAACATGCTTCTTTTATTTAAGAAATATTTATGAGTCTGAAAATTTTAAATGTCTTATATGTCTTATATATTTAAAAAACTAAAAATATTTTTATGTATTAATTGATTATTTTATTCTTACATTTCAGCATCAAATGATCTTAACTCACCAGTTGGAGAAAATGCAAAATATGTTATAAAGATTGAACCACATAATAATGGCCCATTATTTGTTGAAATGAATTTTTATATAAGAGCAGCTCGTAAACATATGAGTAAGTTATTTATTTCTTACTGACATAATTTATATCATATATGTATGATAATATAAAAATTTCAGTTGATAGTTGGTGTAAGTCACAAGGAAAAAAGCGAATAGGTGTTCCAACATATGAAGGATCAGGTTCTCACGTGTATGAGGGTGAAAAATACAGATTTTTGGTAATTCCAAGATATGGTATTGACATTGGAAAATTGTTTCTATCAAATGGAAGGAAATTGCCAATTAAACTTGTTAATAAGCTAGCAGTTCAAATGGTATTTAATTATAAAGTTTCGAAACTTTTATAAGTTAATTTTTATTTTTCTATATTTCTGTAGTTTTACAATTTCATAATCTTTCTGTTCTATAGCTGGATGCGCTTGAATATGTTCATAGTCGAGGATATGCTCATGCAGATGTTAAAGGATCAAACATTTTATTATCTTTATGTGAAGTCAAAAGATCTCAAGCATATTTAGTTGATTATGGGTTGGCTTATCGTTTTCGGACAGCAACAGGTATGCATAAACCATTTGTTCATGATGAAAGAAGAGCACATGAAGGAACATTAGAATTTACATCAAGAGATGCACATCATGGAAGTAAGTCATAAATATAATATAAATATTTAACGTATAATATCACACTATATATTACATCTTATATTAATATACAGCACATTCAAGAAGAGGAGATTTAGAAACATTGGGGTACAATATATTACAATGGTTATGTGGTAAATTACCTTGGGAGAAAGAAAATGATAGTGTGCCATCAACAATGGATCCTGAAGAAGTTCATGCACAAAAAGAACTTTTTTTTGCAAATATACCATTATTTATGAATGAATGTTTTCCTTTTGAAAAGCCACCTGGTAAGTTATATAATTCTCTATATAAAAGAAAAGAATATCTTTAAGTATTAAATATATTTGCTTGACATTATTAAAAATATTTTTTAATAGCTGCCATCGTGGAATATATGACATATATTACTGAATTGGGATTCGAAAGTAAACCTAATTATTCTTACCTACGTGGTTTATTTCAGTCTGGTTTTAAACAGAAAAATAATGTTCCTATATGTTTATATAGTTTAAAAGAATCTAGTGAAAATATTTCTTGTCCCATATCTTTTAAACGACCATACTTAAGAGAAAGAAAACCTTGCCAACCTGTTAATGCAGAGGTATTATTTTTTGTGTACATATTATTCGAATGAAATTTTATGTAAATTTTGTTAAATAATGCATTATTATTTTTAGATTCGTATAACGCGAAATATGCAACCGAAAATAAATGTTGAAGTTGAGAAGAAGGAATTTTGCTGGGAAGCAGTATTAGCACTTCACCCTGATAAACTTGCAAAAATTAATATGCAGTCTCCGCCATCGCCACTTACACCACCTCCATCTCCACCTCCTCCATCTTTACCCACATACGCTATGTTAAATGTAATTCAGAGGATGAAAGAAAAACAATCAGGCACATTTCGACAAAAATTATTACCAAAATCATTAGAGTAAGTATCATGTTTTAATTGAAAAAATTACCAAATTTTAGTAAAAATATTAAATAAAAATAATTTTTTTTAAATAGCGATGTTAAAGGGAAATTGATGACGCCAGCCATGGAACAAATAGTTCAATTAAGAAAAAAGTCTTCTGTACCAACGTTTCCTCCACCTATGTCATCGCCACGTGTAACTCGTTCACGAGTGGCTAAGACAAAACGTAAGATAATTTTTTAAATATATTTGTTTGTATACATATAGCATAAATACTGCTTTTAAAAATATGAAATAGTTTGTTTTAATCGATCTTTTTTATATAAATTTTAATTTTATTAGGACTTCAGAATGAGAAATCCTACAAGGAAATGCAAAGTAGCAAAAGAAGAAAAGGTCCATCATAAACAGAAACAATTTTTCTAAATACTGTTCCAGTCTTCATTCCATGTACAATGGAATCACCAGCAAGTTATCTAAATAATGGATATATGCTTAAGTATTATTCTTTATTAGTTTATTTAGATTTTATAAGAATATACTCTTGATGTTCCTGTTACAAGGACAAAATTGAATTAATTAGCAATGCCTCGGGTGTGCTTAGTACACCAATTTTTGTAAGACTGCTTTATCGTCATTATTTGTTGTTCGATAAAATGAACGTAAGATTTTTTAAATAACTGTATAGCGAACAAATAATTACAAATAGTGAGGTAACTGGAAAATTACACTTTTTCCTTATAAAAAAATAATTTTAACCCAATTGAAATAAGACTTGCTCATAGACACAGTGATAAAATATCATCACTTCGATACATACAAAATATTGAAATATTTCGTAATTATCATGATAAACTTATGATCTGAATACTAAATTTAAACTAAACTACTAAATTTATTTTATTAAATTTAAACGCTTATTTCTTTATTTTATGAAATACACGGTTATTAAAAGCACAATATGCTATATAAATAATGTTAGTATTTCATTGTTTTTAGTAAAATGAAAGTTATTGAAATAGTAAATTACTAGTAGTTAAAATGTTTAAAATGTATTTAGTTTTTTATCATTATAATTGTTTTGTAACTCATATGACGTAAATCAAACATTTTATATTTATATAACAATAACATGATACCTTGATTTTATGATCAGACAACAGTTTGTATTCTTATACAAAATGTGGAATTTAAGTTAGTAAGAATCACGCGAATGATCTTTTTAATATCAAAGTATATATTCAAACATAAAGTTGTTAATAATATAAACAGAATTGTAGTATATAGCGAAACAATACAATGATGAATAGTAACGTGTGTAAAAATTTACAATCGTAAACTGTTGTTTGTTCTTAATAGATCAGTATTGACCCACTAATCGCTTACACAATTAAAATGCAACAGTTTACGTTTGTTACTATAATTACAATATACTGACAAGAATGCGTGTGTGGTATAATTAATACAAATATTTTAATTGAATTTTTGATTTTTTTACCTGACTTAATTAAAGAAAAAAAAAACATTTCAAAGTTTGTCTCCTGTTTACATAATATTATCTCATGTTACTTTAATATAATGTAATCTAATTTGCATTAACTTTTATCCAATACTTGCATAACATAAAGCCCAATAAACCATTGTATATATTTATAATAGGGATCATGTATAGATAAAAGGGACAATTTATTTACAGTAATTTGTGATAATTTTATTTGTATTTTCTTAAGTTATGTGTACCTGTGCCACAAAAGCAGAATTGCTAAAGACTTAAAGATGTATTGTAATTAAATAAATACACATACATTTGTAATTTTTTCTATAATAATACTATTTTGTTTACTAAGATTCGTTAATATAAACCTAATATTAACTTTGTTCATATTTTCTGAATTATAGTAATCAAACAACAGTATTGAATTCAAAGATTTTCAACCCATAATATTAAAAAACTTATTCAGATAAAAATATGATAAAAATATAATGAATTTATTTAATGATTTCTATTATATTATTAAATCAAATCAGCATTACTTAAGAATTTTGATTTTTTAAAAATTGAGAAATTGAAGATTTAAATATTTGAATTTTTGATAATTTGAATATCTGGGATTTCAGAAATTTGAAATTAGTGTTTATTGACAATATAGATATATTAATTATCTGAAGTCCTTATAAGTATAAAATTTTCAAATTTATCCGTGAAACAAGTACAGTTTCTTTGTTAACTTCTTTCTACAGTCATATACAATCCTGCTTGTTTCGAAGATTACTCATTACTAACGTCATGTGTGAAATATGTACGAGTGTAATGTACGATACCACACCCGTAAATATTCCTCAACGTGTTGATATTTACCGTATTTATTTAGTTTATAGAGGCTCATAATCATTCTTGATCAAGTAAAAAATGATAAAAAATCAAAGATATTATTATTACTTTTTAATAATCGAAAGAAATATAATTGATTACAGAGTTAACCTTATATAGTGACATCATTCGTTTATTGATTCAAATGTAAACTATCCGAAAATAACATTTTGTTAATATCTTAGAAGTAGTGACATTAATAAACATTAAATCATAGACACAGTGTTAAAATTACATTACAATATACAATGATAATATTATCCGTCCTTTTTTATTTCTGTAATAATGTACTTAGTCAAAAATATGAGGGTTGTTTTCAAAGTTCTGTATCAGATCCTGATTTACCAACTTTAATATTAAATCATGCTAGCATGCCAACAGAATGTATCAAGGAATGCCATTCACGATATTACATGTAAGACAAAACATTATAAATATTTAGTGCTTTTAATTACAAATTTATATGTAATTACTAATTATTGATGATGTATAGGTTTGCTGGATTAATGAATGGACAGCAATGTTTTTGTGGTAGTAAATATGGTAGAAAAGGTTTATCTAATTCATGTGTGGATCCTTGTCCTACTGATCCAAGTAATTATTGTGGTAGTCAAGAAGCCATGAGTATTTATTCAACTGGACAAAAAGGTATATTTGTGTAAAGCTCAGGACAATCTTTAATTGAAATTGTTATTTATTCTTATATATTTTAATTTAAATGAATAATATGTTTAGGTCCTAGTCCACCAAGAAGTGCTCAAATAACTCACAATGGGCATAATAATTTGCAAATAACGTGGGAACCACCTAACATAACTAATGGGAATATTACCTCTTATATTTTAAAGGCAATAGTTATCCAAACATTTTCATCAAACCCATTACCACCTATAGAAAGTCAAATACAAGGCGGTGCTTCAAACAGCACTATTTTACAAAATCTGCAGCCAGGCACAAAATATAATATATCAATTATTGCCACAAATACTGAAGCAAATAGTGAACCTGCATATATTTCAGGATGGACACTAATAGGTCCTCCTAATAAACCAAAAACACCGAAAATAATAGAACGAACAAGTACTACTGTAACTGTTTTATTATCAGAAGGCAGTAGTGAATCTGGACCTATTAGTGCATATCAAGTATTTGTTGTTCAACCTGGTATAATACCTCCATTAGGTCCTAATATCACATATTATAATTATAAAAAATCAATACAGCAAGGTTTAGGATACTATATTACTGGAGAATTTGACTCCTCAGAATTCTATAAATATAAAGTATTTGTTGTTGGAGATGGTAAAATGATTGGAGAATATTATAATGCGCCTCTAAGTTCTGAAATGATTCCTCAAATAGGTTTAGCAGTAGTTTCTAGATTTCAAAGAGAAATACAGTTTGCTTACTCAAATTTAATTAATAATTTGATAAGTAATGAAAACAAGAACAATGAAATGGATTCAATAACAATTACACTTTGTATTGCAATTGGTCTTTTAGGAGCATTACTTATAGCATTAATCATATTGTATTTTGTATTGCGACAACGTCATGAAAAATTCCGTATGAGAAAACTTCCAGAACAACAAGAGCTTACATTACAAGGACCACTATATGAAGTTGACAATTTAGCATATATTCCAGAAGATGTACCTGAAAGGGTAAATCATTACCAAGAACTAAAAAAAAAAGTGTGGACAATACCGCAAAATGCGATGAAAATTAATGATACTATAATACGTAGAGGACGATTTGGTACAGTTCATACAGGTGTAGTTGAAAAAGATGGAAAATCTTATACTGTATCAATTCATAACATAGCTGACAAGTTATTAAAAGCATCGGATAAAAGAAAAATGTTGCGAGAGTTAGATGTTTGTATTAGAGCATCTCCTATGAAATATCTTGCAGACCTTGTGGGAACTTGTGAAACACATGATACATTATATGTCGTACTAGAATTACCACTTCAAACGTTAAAAAGTCGTTTATTAGCAGCGAGATCTGGAAATACATTTCCAGTTAATCAAATGTTACCTATAGGATCTATGATAGCATCAGCTTTGCAACATCTTGAAAATTATAAAATTGTACATGAACATCTTTGTGCACGAAGTGTAGGCCTTTGCAATGATTGGACACCTAAGTTAATGGGTCATGGAATTGCTAAATATGCATTGGAAGATATAAAATATACTCGATGGACTGCCGTTGAGTGTTTTGATAATGGAAAAAAACATCAACCTGGAGTTGTTTGGTCTTTTGGTGTACTTCTATGGGAAATGTTTAGTATGGGTGGAACACCATATTCTAATATTTTACTTGACAATGAAGTAGAAGAGGCAGTTGGAGGAGGAGCTAGGCTACCACAATTACAAGATACTCCTGACCCACTTTATGAAGTTATGTCATCTTGTTGGCAAATTGAAACTCAAGAAAGACCCACATTTTCAGAACTTACAAGATTGGTAAGTATTATTTCTTTTTGTATTTTTAAATCATGAAAAAGAAGTATTTCATCTATTTATTATTCTGTTTTGTATTTTCAGGAAACTTTGAGCATTTGTCCAATCACAACAATAACAGAACCATATATCCCAGAACTAGAATTAAACTAATGTTCATAACAACAACAATTTGTACTTTTATTGCATTTATGTGATGTTCGTTGTACACTGTACATAATAATCTTTTAAGTACTTTTAAATTCTACTTTTAGATAGTCTGTGCAGTTACCATTTTATATAAACTACAGTACACAAGATTTTATATTACTTTCTTTCAGATTTTAGGTTTTTTATATTTTTATATCTTTTTTATAAATCATACTATTATATAAATATTACTGCCACTTTCCGTCCATAATGTTTAAAATAAGATTAATAAAAGGTATGATGTTTATATAATATATAAATTTCATAATCATTACATTACATGTACGATCATTTTATTTATAATGAGAGAGTATACAGGGTGGAACAGTATTAAAATCAATTATTTCCAAAATTGTAAAAATTATTAAAATTAATTAAAATTACCAAAAAGAAACTAATACAATTACTAAAATTGTTAAAAAGAGATTGTTCTGAATAGACTGTTTTATATGATAACAATTGATTCTTTTTAAATCAATTTGAAATTATTCAGGAAATATGAGGGTCAGTTTAGATCTTCATTAGATCTTCTAATGAATCTCCACAATTTATAATTTGTCTTTTCTTTTTATAAAAATTTTTTATAATACTTTATTTATTCTCAGTATTTTATTATTTTATGTTTTAATATGAATGTTTAGATTCTGTATTAAGTAACATTTTAGTACTTTATTTGGTAATTATTACTTTCATTACAGTATGAAGTATTTAATTATTAATCTGAACTGCGTGTTTATATGTGTGTACATTATAAATATAGCTATATAATTTTGTAATTGTAAACTGTGTTCCTTGAAACAAATACAAATCAGTATATTGTAACGTAATAATGATAATTAAAATCTCTTCTAATTTCTTTTCAATCCTTAAAGTAAAATAACATTAATACCTGAATATTACATACCTATAATAAAATATCCTCTTATACATATCAAAAATGATAAAAATTAAATAGATATATGAATTTGTTTTGTAAAATTAAATATTTACTTTGATACAAATATTTCTTATTATGACCTCAAATGTTCATTAATTTTTTGTACATACCTCGGACATACATTGAACCAAATTTTTATTTTCAACAAATGTAAATTAAAACAATAATTGTTTTCATGTATAAAAATAAATGAAGAGAATAGGTACTACGATAAAATAATTATTTATTATTTCGTATTAAATAAATAAAAATATTGTTATTGTAATAGTTCTTCACATAAATAGATTCGAATTTTACCGCTATCTAAGATCACTACTACCCTCTTCTTCTAGTTAAATAGCTTTTCTGTCTTTCTTCAAATTATGACCAATTTGACGGCGACCAACCAAAAATACGGACAAGTATTTCAATCACTCCCATGAGGATTATTACTCCCGCAAAAATCAAATTTACTCTTGTATTTCAATGTATTAAAATACTTTTATCAAAGTATAATGAATAAGAGTTGCCGGCAAAGCGATAAGAAAAAACTTAGGATAACATTAGACAACATGATTTTGACAGATACCTCGGAGAAATGTGATTATGCTATTCAGCGTATTCGCTGGTAAGTTTTATCCTTATAATATATGTTTTGCATACTAAGTATATAAAATACACGCTGTATTATATTTACATTTTTTTCTGTGCTTTGTATCTATCTGTATAAATACTTTGAATATTAGATGCGTTTACATTTTTTATAGTAAGTTTTGAATTAATATTTATATAATATTCTTGTAGTTAAGAAATTTTTGTATTAAAGCTACTAACATAGGGAACATAAAATATTAAAAAGTCTTTTTCCAATACATTTTTTTTCATGTCGAAGTAACTTATCTGATGGTGTGGTTGGAGTTTGATTGTGGGTGACGGAATTTGATTTGTTTCTTTCAATTTATTACGTTTAATGGAGCAAACCCATTGACAAAATTAAATACATTACACATGAATTAAAGGTACGTAACTATTAATACATATATATATATATATATATATATATATGTTTATACATAACATATAAAGTATTCTATGCATCTAAAATAATCAATATTTTTCTATATTTTTCTTATATTTTTCTAGGAATTATTAACCAATAAACATATTCTTAAAGTTGGAGTTGCTTCGTGCAAAGCAATAACACATTATTGGTATAAAGTTAGTGGATGCTGGATTTATGGACATTGGTAGAATGCAGAAATTTACCAAGTACAATAAGTTTAGCTGCAATAAGTTTAAAATACTTAAACTAGAAAATGGATAAATAAGTAAAAGTAAGGTATTGCAATTAGAAGGCTGATACTCTGAATGATGACTAAATAGCATATACTGTTTGCAATGCAGTTATGTCTATTCTTATCTATGACCAGGGTGTGTGATGTGCAGCAACCCCCTCCAAGGCAATGCACTCCAATGCACAATTTCAATCATAAAAATTTATGGTTTTAGCTAATGGAATAACGTGATGTAGCAGGTCATTGAATTTGTCTCAACACCCATTATGATATTATACATAGAAAAATGCAAGAGGTCATTTCAAAAAATTGTTTTGATTTTAAACTCTATTCCACCACTCACCTATTGAAATATCATTTGCACCACATAACGGGCACTCCTTAAATTCATTATTCGAACGGTTTGAACAAACAACACGCGGAGCTGCGAATTTCTCGAGAAAAAACCATACCTGCCGGAGCCAACAGGTGCCGTACCCGTTACTCGTCCTTAGCGAATCGTTCAATTTTGAAGATAACGACTGATTTTAACTTCGCACCCTGATTCGAGGCCCGTATATATAAATACCTGACTCTCGCATTGTCGTTATTTTCACCTTCAGCACGGCTTGTTCAAACCCCGTAACGTATAATTATGTAGTTACTTTCAAGAAAAGTGAAGTTTAATTGTGCCAAAAAATTTTCTGATAAGAAAAGAACGACATAAATAATTAACATGAATGAGAAAAAAAATAGTAGAAGAGAAAAATCTCAGCATGTACAAGTATTTGTCCGTGTTAGGTGAGCAACTCATTTATTTTAGATTTAATGACCAAAACTTTTAACATATTTAAATTGGCATGAGATTTGTAGTAATTTATGAAACAGATATTATTAATTTATTAAAACTTTTAAATTTTCCAAATTTGATACATTTATATAGAATTATTTCATAATTTCGCTTATATTTGTAATTATAACTAAACATGTTATGATACAAATCCAAATGTAAATTAAATTTTACAGAACATAAAAAATTTAACTTATTTTTGTTATTGAAGGATGTAGAATTCTTTAAAAAGATAAGGCTTGCAGGAAGTATTATTTTAGATTTAAACTGTTACAATTTGAAATGTTCTCTTCTTTTTCTTAAGCAAAAAAAACAATTATAACAATGTTATTTAATTAGATGTTCTATTTATTTTAGGCCAACAAATGCTGTTGAAAAAAATAATAAGTCCAAAACTATTGTAGAAGTTGCTAATGATAGAGAATTAATAGTAAAATATCCACATGATAAAGTTTCTAAGAAATATAAATTTGACAATGTATTTGGACCTTCTGCAAGACAGGTATATGTTTTTATTATATATAAAAGATATGTATACATGTTAAAGAATTTACAATTCATTATATAATTTTTAATTACTAGATCGATATATATAATGTTGTTGTTAATCCATTATTGGAACAAGTTTTGGCTGGATATAATTGTACAGTGTTTGCATATGGTCAAACTGGTACAGGAAAAACATTTACTATGGAAGGAAATAATAGTGATCCAACTTTGCATTGGCAAAATGTAAGATTCTGTATTCATATATACCCTTCTATATAATATAAACTGCATGTTTATTTATTATGTATATTGACTGTATTTCGTATACACCAACTTAATAATTATATTCATACTTACATTTTATAGGATTCATCTGCTGGTATAATACCTCGTTCTTTAAGTCATCTATTTGATACATTACGTGTATTGGAAATAAAAGAGTACAGAATTAGAGTTAGTTTCTTGGAACTCTATAATGAGAATTTATTTGATCTATTATCAATTAATGATGATTGTTCTAAAATAAAGTATATAATGCAAATTGTTTAATCTGCACAGGGCTTAATTAGTTACAATATTTCAATAAATATTTCTTGTTTAGATTATATGAAGATGCATCAAAAAAAGGTACTATAACTATTCATGGTTTAGAAGAAGTAAGAGTACGTAATAAAAGTGAAGTTTATAAAATTCTGGAAAAGGGATCAGAGAGGAGAAAAACTGCTGCAACGCTGTTAAACAGTCAATCTAGGTTGGTACTTTCAACTTCTTATTACTGAAACTGAATCTGTCAATCTATAAAAATAATTTCAGTCGTTCTCATACTGTATTTTCGATTACTGTACACATGAAAGAGAATACCATTGACGGAGAAGAAGTTTTAAAAACGGGAAAGTTAAATTTGGTAGATTTAGCAGGAAGCGAAAGTATCGGGAGATCTGGCGCTATTGAAAAGAGGGCAAGAGAAGCTGGTAGTATTAATCAGTCCTTATTAACCCTTGGTAGAGTTATAACAGCTCTTGTTGAAAGAGCACCTCATGTACCTTATAGGTAATAAAAATCTATTTTTTCTTTACATTGTAAGAAACATAATCGATTACATTTTTGTTTCTTATATTGTGCAGAGAATCCAAACTCACTAGGTTGCTACAAGAGTCACTGGGTGGTCGAACAAAAACCTCTATTATCGCTACAATATCTCCTGCTGCTATTAATCTCGAAGAAACGCTATCAACATTAGATTATGCACATCGAGCGAGAAACATTACTAATCGTCCAGAAATAAATCAAAAACTTTCAAAAAAAGAATTCCTTAAACAGTATAGAGTTGAAATCGAAAGATTACGAAAAGATTTAGAAGCAACGCGTGAGGAGAATGGAGTTTGTGTCGCTAATGAGAATTATCAAGAAATGCAGACAATGATCGCTCAATTAAATAAAGATATAAAAGAGAAAATAAATCACATAAAAGCGCTTGAAAAAACTGTGCAAGATAAGGAGGTAAATAAATACTTTTGATTTTGATCATTTTTGTTGTTTATCAGTATTATTTTTTAATTAAATATTATTTTATTTAAGGAAATATACAATGATCTTGAAGTACAAACTCTTGCTCAAACGCAAGAATTCTACAAAATTAAAAATAAATTAGATAATGTTACGAGTGCCCTTAAATCTACAGATGAAGGGTTAAAAATGACGATTGAGGAACGAGATACACAGAAATTCTTACTAGAAAAATATGTTAATACAGAACAATCTCTATTAAATCAAGCTCAAAATTTATTAAATATTGCAGATACAGCAACGTCAGATTTGTATAAGTTACATGATAAGATTGAACGTCAAACGTATGTTAATTATCTTTAATATATTTTTTTATATTTATGCATCGAAAATATAATTAACTGTTTCAGGCAAACTGAACAAACGTTTAAAGCCCTTAGTGAACAGTTCAGAAACAATGTTTCTTATTGTGTACAAGGAATGGAGAAGGATGTTATTGCGTGTGTAAAAAGATTAATAAATTGTTTTACATCTATAAAGAATGATATTGGTAATAAAGAAATTAACATATAATATAAATCCTAGTAAGCGTTAATTTACTGATTGTTACTTTTGCTTACATTAGATCTGTATGCTAACAATACATGTGAAAGTGTAAACACAGCAATACAACAAATTGCAATGGATCTTATTAAACAACATTTATCCAATATTGATAATTTAAAGAAGAGTATAAACGAATTTGTGTGTATTTATCAATCTAATACAACAATATTATTGCAGCTAAATACATGTATATGTTTTTAAATATTACAGTATTCAAATGACCAAAAGTGCATAAAAGATAAATCAACTGTAATTCCAGTGAGTACAGTAGAATGTAAACATGAATTATTAAATAAAATTTCTATAACATTGGTAAATGATATTCAAAATATAATGAGAAATGAAATTGTTAAAAATTTGCAAATAATAAGGAATAATGTGACCCAAAAATTAAAGCGAACTTCAATTCTTATGAAAGAAATGATAGATTCTGCATGTTATGTTCAACTAGAAGCTTACAATGATATAAATAAAAACATTCAAATTATTGCAAATGATGTAGAAATGCTCGATAAAAGGCAACAGTTTACAGAAAAACAAAAATTATTCGCAAAGGTATAAAAAACTTTTTATTAATATAATCTTATAATTTTAGAAGTACTAAACTCATATCTTTTAGATGATGCAAGATGCAGTTTCTCAATTCAACCATTTGTATAAGAGTCAAGAGGAGCACTATTCTTCTGTAACTGACAAATGTAATTATGTCAGCAAAATTTGCAATGATATCACTGATTATTCAACAAAAAGTATCGCGTTGCAAAACGATCTAAAAGATCAAATACAACGTAACTTACAAAAAATTGAAACAAATGTCATTCTTAAAACAGAAGAGGTAGTATTTATATGATTTATAATTTAAGAGAAAACTTATGTACCATTATTTATAACCCATTATATATTATTTTATTGATAGAGTGAAGAGTTAGCAGATAAAACAGCAAAGCAAGGAAAAATTCTAATTAACGCATTAGAATTAAATATAAACGAAAGCTGTAACATATTGAAACAATATAAAGACCTTACTGAGAATAGCGTTAAAGAGGTACAACAGAAATTTGATGTGGATAGAAATAAAGCTCTTTTATTGGTTAATGTAAGTTTAAATCTAATTAAAATTTACATGGTAATCGAACATTTCTTTTACTAAATAAATGGTTTTCCTTGTAGAATGCTCAGGAAATAATTACGAATGTAAGTAAAGATGCAGGATTAATGAAAGGCCAACAAATTAAAATAACTGAAATCTCTAACAAAATAATTGGTAAATTAGAGGATCAAAGTGCAGAATCAAGTGCATGGAGTGATAGAATTCCTAATCAGTTAAAATCAATAGTGGGCGATGTTAATAAATTTTTTGATGAAGATTTACAACGTGATGTTCCAACAGGTACTGTTATATAAGAATTATAAAATAAAATAAATAAAATTCTATTTTTTTTATAGGAACAACTCCTGCTAGGAGAGAATTTTCTTATCCTCGTCAATTTATTGCAACATCTCCTCATGAACAAATTCTTCAAAGATTCAGACAAGCTAGGAAACCTATTGAAACGTCGGAAGATGATGTAAGTAACTATAATGCATACTGCAAAAGACAAATCAAATACTTTTTTCACTTTTCTTTCACATTTTATGCATGTAAATATGTACAGGATGATTTGTACATTACAAGTGGTGACATAACAATGAAACAAATTGTACATTCAACTCTTCTACATGATACTACCATTGTATCTGCTTCGACTGATAACACATTTACTGAATCCACCTTTACCAACAATTTTTAATCAATCTCACTTGGATTCACGCACTTTTATAGATTCATATATTAAATGTATTATATAAAAATTGGATGTATAGAAAGTATTGAAAAATATATTAAGCTATTTAACTAATTCTAGTCTTAACCAGAATGGTTTAAATGGAAACAAATTTTATCATATTTTTTTTCTGTTTTCAACAAAATATATACTCGTGTATAGTAATATCAGTGTGTAATTTAATAACACCTATAATAATACCAAATTAATTTTACAGGATACAAATAAAGAGAATACAGGCAATGTTGATTAATGTATAACCGCATAGAAAGAAATTAATGAATTCTAAAAAGTAAAAACTGACAATATTTGAAATACGCAGCTATATAAATAAAATATATTTTGAATTGTATTTTGTACGTTGTTAGACCCTTAGGTTTTATCATAATTCTTCGATTCCTAGATTCCTAGACCTCTATACCTCCAGATATTTAAATCGCTATATGTAAGAGACCGAAAACTCTTATTTATATACTTTTTTATGTGATTAATTCAGCTTTGTTTAAATGGATTCTTATTAATTGTAATTTCAGATATATATAATATAAAATAAGGCAAATTGATTTTGTTTCTATGAAAATAATAATGCTTTTACGGTTGTTATAAATTTATCACTTTTCGGAACACTGAAAATGGGATAAGTTTATTTATGGTCTCACTTTGTCTATTTCGTGAGAGAACGGTGGCATTTAACATCAGCCGAATGATCATGAATTAAAATAATCTATGAAATATGAAATAAAGAATGAATAATACAATACTTTATTTATACCTTTAATATAAGAGTGATTTTGGTAAATTAGCGAATAGATAGATAACAAGTTTTAATTATAGTAATTGTTAAACATGGTTATAACAATGATTACTCGTTTTGCAAATGTACGGTGTGTGAGGAATATTAATAATTTCAGTTCAGTTGGAAATGCGATAAGTGTTATTCAATGTTCGGTAACTAAAAATTTATAATTTTGAACTAATACTTTTAAAAAATGTTTTGTATCTTGTAAAATAATTTTCATAACCTTACAATTAATTTTATGATTTTAGAGTATCCTGTCTAAACCATATTCTACAGTTAATGATGAAATAGTTATTAATTCTGATAACAAGCCAAGTAAAAAAATACACAAAGCTATGCAAGTTTATTTCCAACAAGCTGAGGAATATAGTAAGTTTAAAATATAATGCGAGTATGGAAGTTTGATACAATATTTGTTATTATTAGATATTCCAATGAATAGCCTACCCTTTTTATCTAATCCAGTAGTTATTTACAATAAAATTAAATTCCTATCTTATCTTAAAGGTAGTTGTGTTTTATCATTGCTGTTAATTTTTAAGTAAGTTATATTTTGTTGATTATACAATATCTTTATTGACCTATCTTTGAAATTACAACTACATTTATTATTTATTAAATAAAGTAGTGAATTATTCATTGTAACACCTAATATTATATTAAATATATTAATTAATATTTATGTGTTGATTTCAGAGGAATTTATACAAAAACAAATAGCAGAATATGATATTGGAAAACGACATCTAGCTAATATGATGGGCGAAGATCCTGAGAATTTTTCTGAGGCAGATATTAATGTAAATTATATTTTTATTACATATAATATTTTATCAAATTCATGAAAAAGTATTTCCAAATTGTAGTCGGTTTGTTTATTTTGCAGAGATCAATAAAATATTTATTTCCATCTGGTTTATATGAACCAGAAGCTCGTCCTATGATAATTCATCCTAGTAAATTATATGCAAGCAGAAAAGAAGCTGAATTTGATGAAAGTGGCAGACCACATCACTTCCTATATTATACTACAAAACCTAACTATTATAACATACTTCATGTGAGTTAATTTATGACATAATTAGCATATTATGTAAAATGTTTTCATCTGATATAAATTATATACTATGTGATTTAAATGGCTACAATAGACTGCTTACAGAGGAAAAATAATAATTTCACCTTCTGTTGCATGATGTGAGGCAAGATAACTGAAATTATATTATCATTTATAAAATAAAGTTACTGGGTATTGAAATAGAGTCATAATGTCCACAAGTAAAGTAGGTTAAATTGTTACTTTCCCTCTGTAAAGAGTGTATTGTATCTACTTTTATAAGGTGTTAGAATAGTTCTAATAAATTATATTAACTATATAAATATGGTTAATATAAACTGTTAACATATATAATATATTTATGTATAGAAAATTGCAGAAAATATGATTAAATTAAATGAGCTGGAGGATAAGACCGCACAAATAAAGAAATACAGTACCATAGAGGATAAATTGTACGTAACAATGTTTTCTATTGTAATGATATATAGCATAATAACTTTCTTCCTAAATGGTAATACTTTGTTTTTATCCATTTTTTACTTTTTATTGTCCTAGTGATGTTGCAAAAACAGAATGGCTAAACAAAACTGAATTAGAGGAGAAATTATTGGAAGAACTCTCTGATGCACAAGTAAGAAAAATATAATGTTTATAATTCGACATTTTCCTGCATATTTATTGACTTCTTAAATCTATTTTAGTATGAATACTTTCTAACAAGTATAGAAAGAGTGCTTCAACATCCCTTTTCAAATCATGCATCTTCTTTGCTCAACGAATGTAGAAAACAGATAACTGCGATTTCTACTACCATGAAGCTCCCACTAGTAAGTTCATTTTAAAATCTTCTTTAACGTTCTATTTATTGTCTGCTTTTTGTTCAAGTAAATTAATGTTCTAATTTTTACTATTACAGGTACAATTTGATGAGAATAATAGACCTTATATTTTATTAAAGAGTAAGTATATTTTGTTAAGTAAGTAAAACAGACAGAATGATTCAAAAATATTTATTACACTGTAAATTATACATATAATATATTGAACGTAACAATATTAAAATTATTTGTTTAGATTGTGCAAGGAAATGCGCACGAGGCGACGTTAAAGTGATAGGTAATGGAACTGGAAACATTACTATTAATGGAGAAGACATTTCATATTTTACGGATATACAGTGTCGTGAGCAGGTAGGTTTATAAAAAAAGTAATTCAAATAATTTCGAATACTAGATTATTTTTAAATTCTTCATATCAAAATATTTATTTATTCATTTTTTGCATTTATACTTGAATAACATGGATTTTGTTACAACGCAAAATATACAATTTCCTGTCTATTAAAAATCATAAACTGTTTAGTATGATATGAAAGTAGGTAAGTAGTATATATTAATGAATGTATCAGTTATTAAAGTCGGGTAAGTATTATATTCATTTGCTTTGTGAAAAATGTTTGCAAAATAGAAAAAAATAACGATTTCGACAGTTTGTAGAAACTAAAATATATTAGAACGTAGAAAGTTAAGTGATTACTGTCACTATTTCTATGGTGTAATCAAAACGGAATTTAAATGGTTCTTTCAAGGACAAATAACTTTTCCATGATGAAACTAACACATGATACGATTTCCTGTTTTCATTTTTTCATTATCTCATGGACAATGTTATACAAAAAAAGTGAAAATCCTTATAGTTCTTATTTCAAATATAAGTTGAAAAGATCAAGATTGGTTATTATTCATCATTATACATTACTCAATTTATTTTGTTAGTCGATATTATAACTTTATTATTTACAAGATATTGTCATTTGTTTAAACATTCTTGTATGCAAAATTAAGAATAATTTCCATGACATTAGAAAAATAGGATTATCCGAAAAGAAACATTTAATGTGGTATGCCTAAAATTTTTTTTTTGGATATAAAATTATATATGCATACAATATTTGCTAGCGATGTAAGCAATATCTCGTGTATACTACTTGCATGTTGTAAACATGTATCTATCTTAAGTTTCATATTCTTCTTCATGATTATTTAACATGAATGTTATATAATGACATGAAAATTTGATTAAGTCCTGTATTTAGAAAAATCACAAATTGTAAATATATTTTGGGCCTAATGAATCCAAGTTAATCTAAATATCGTAAAAGGTAAAGGATAAATTTCGTTCATTATTCTTCTATGATTTTCATGTCATCCTTACTTAATTTTATTATAATTGTTTAGTAAATGAATTGAATCGAATACTACGATAATTATGAACTTCAATTGCGACAAATAATACGTTTCCCATTTCAACAGTACTATAATTTTTATTTAATAATTGTTTCCGTTTAACTATTATTATTTAAAATTTACAAATTTTCAAAATTTTAAAGTTCCAAAATTCTTAAGTACCAAAGTTTCAAATTTTATAAAGTTGCAAACTTTCAAATTTCTAAATTGCCACATTTCCAAAATTTCAAAATCCCATATTTTCAGTCTCAAAATTCAAAAATTCTTCAGTTACCAATTTTTATATTCCTCGAGATCTAAATTATTAAATTTTCAAATCCCCGATTGCTAAACGTAACAAATTCCAGCGTTTCAAATTTTTAAATATTTTAATTCTCAATTTCCCAAATTTTCCAAATTTCAAAAATTTAAATTCTCAAATTTTTTAAAATTCCTAAATTTCAAGGTTTCCTTTTAAAATTGCAGTCTTGCAAAACAGGAAAATTAAAAATAAAATGAAGAAATTACGTTTTAACTCTTAACACGGTTTGGACACGCGTCGTTAATCTCTGATACTAAAATAATATTTACACGCTGAAAATTTCACTCCATAACGAAAGTTATGCATCTGAGATTATCTCCTCAGATAATAAGCGTAGAAGTTTGTAAACGCGAAACGAAGACGGTGCTATGCGAATTGTTGATAACTTATGGTGTACGCGATTTATCGTGGTCTCCGGGATCTCAGAACAGACAATGCGTACAAGAAGACTCGATCTGAGCTCAGTATTAATCGAGCCGTTCAATAGAACGACAGGCCCACGATATTGTAACGATACCCGATTGTTTGAGCATTCTGAGTCGTATGTTCAATCGACCTGATCAAGTTTGAAGGTGAAAAAGAGGTGGTTGATCGTTGTTTCGACCTTTCGCTATCGGTAAAGATCTGCTAAATTATTTCTAAGAATCATCAAACGCGTTAGTGGCAAAATAGAGAGATCCGGTTGCTCATCTTTTGGAGTTAAAGAGTCATCTTTGAAATGTTGCAGTGAACATAATTGCATCTGCAATACGCAATAGGAAACTTTGATATTATGTCATTGTTGATAGTTCAAAGTGTATAGAAACAGCGATAATGAAATGTAAACGGCTTATAGTTTTCAATTAGCCTGCAATTAAGCCACGCTGTTATTACAGTGATTAAGTTGAAGATCATTGGGTTATTTCCGAGTTTTTTCAGATATCTAATATTTCTCGATTCGTATCGATTGAAAAATAGTGTCTGTGAATTAATTATCTGGATACTGGAAATTGTATTTTGTGCTTTAATCCATATGTTCAGAGATGCTTTCAAAAACAATTTTTCAATTCAAGTTTTATTCGTTGAAATTGCAAGTGGTCATATAAAATATTTTACAAAGGATTTTGCTGTTTTCGAGTGTTATCAGAGTTTACGTATTTAAACGAAAAGTTATTCTTCTTTTTTTTTTATGTTTTATAATTTTGGATATTGAATTTGCTGAGAAATATGTGAATAATCGTATACGACAAATTAGATTAAGATGTCAAGAACGTCTTCGGTATCTAAGTGACTCAAACTGTGTATAAATAATATCAATTTAAAGGTAACAGTGCGACAGCTCGCGGTTGTTAATGTATGTGCCCGATTTTCCAATTGACATTCACACCTCACGTGATACGGAATCAGACGTCATCAAAGATCATATGTTCTCCTTAGTAGTTAATTACTCATAGAACTTATATTAAATTATATAGTCAATAATTTTCGACATTTTCTCGGTTACGAAAATTTTAACATTATTTCTTAAAGGAGTTTCTTAAGCATTTGATGAAAATCGTAATATTATAGAATCTCTACCAGAATTTTATTAACAGATTTAAATGTTTATTTATGTTATTGTCTTTCGTGTTTCATATTTGAGTACAGTGGGACAGTATTTAAGTGGAACGTGGCACACTCTCGAAAATTGTTTTTTTTGCAACCTACTAGCATGATTTATTCACCGACGGTTTAAGATTTTAAATTTTGAAAATTCCAAAGTATAAAAATTTCAAAGTTATAAAAGACCAACGTTCTAAAGTTAAAAAATTTTTAAATCTACAAATCCTGAAAAAATTCTGAAGCTTTCAAGCCTATAAATTTCAAACTTCCAAACTTCAAATATACAAATTGTTTAATTTCACTAAAGCTTCAAACTTAAAAGTTTTCAAAATTTCAAAGACCCGAAAAGAACTTAAAACCTTCAATAAATACTCGTAAACCACACAATTGATTTATATTCTATAGTCCTCGATATATCATTGCTATAAACATTTGTAGCCTATATATATAAATCAAAACAAAAAAGTTTAAGCAAAAAATTATTATTGACTAAAGCTGAGAATTCAGAAGATGACTCTTAACTCCAGAAAGATTGAAAACAAATTTTAACAAGAATCTTCCAACAGTGCAGATCTTAAAGATCATAACGCGATCTCTCATAAACATCTTGTAACAACCTTCAATGCGAACATCTGACCAAAATTATGAGGCCAACAAATAAATCTGAACGGATCAGTTGATCAAGTAAAGTGACGTGATTTCATCTTCCTCCTAATGTACGTTCACGATTGTATAAGCACAACATCGTTCATGAATTACCACTTTGGAATCCCTTCCACGTGCGACTCATAACAATGTTCTTTGTAGATCAATGATGTAATCGCATAGAGTGATAGGCGGAGAGGATGGAGAATCGTTTACAAACCTCGAATTCGCCATTGGCGAAAAAGAAGGTGCGACTGGAAAGGGTTATCGACATAGAGGACGAAGCTGTATCGATCCCAAGTCCCCCCAATCGAATTATGACATCTTTACTTTTGACGCGATGGCTAGCATCGAGGAGTACTCCTCGCAGTGAGCCAGAAACCAGCTGGTCCATCGACGATCGTAGCTTGGAGTATGGGACACCACCACCCATAGAAGAACCACATTGCTACTCCATGTGCCCTAGCGAGAGCTCCTGCACCGAGGAGATTAATTGCGCGTTGCAGGTGAACAAAAGTGTGATCAAGAACCTCTTGGTTGAGCACATGAGATACGTAGGCGGTCGACTGCAGCTGCTGGACGATTTAGATGCGAAGAAAATAGACCTGGAGGACTCTGAACGTTTCGTGAAAACCTACAAGCAGCATGAGATAGACACTCTTTTGCTTTATGCCAGTTTCCTAGGCCGAGCGGACGTTATTAGGATTCTGCATAAACATGGCGCGGACTTAAACTATTCGGAACAAGAGCAGGGCCTAACTGCATTGCATCTATGTTCCTTCAGTAACTGCTTGGAAGGTGTCCAATATCTGCTGGCGAATGGTGCCTTCATGGACTTAAAACGAATGCATACACCATTTCATTACGCTGCTTTTGGGGACGCGTTCCATGTAGCTGAGTATTTTCTTCGGCTGGGAATCACTCAGGAGTCCTCGCTGGGAGAGGAGACCGTGTTGCACACTGCAGCGAGATCAAATGCTTTGAACGTTTTGAAGTTACTAGCGCCCTGTAATCCTGCTTTAAATAATTTGGACTGCAATGGATACGCGGCTATTCATCACGTGGCTGACCGAGGGGAACCAGCCTGTCTGACTGTTCTGCTAGACGCCGGTTGCGAGTTGGACCTAATGACTAAAAAAGGCGACACTGCTCTACATCTCGCTGCGGAAGCCAGCTGTGTGGAGAACGTGGACTTATTGGTAGAAAGAGGAGCGAATGTTCATTTGAAAAATCATAGGGACCAGACAGCCCTGCATATAGCGTCACGATCTCACTCGTTAGAGTGCGTGGAAATACTGCTGAAAAAAGGCGGTTGTGACCTTAACGCGGAGGATAGCGATGGGAGGACGCCTCTGCACCTAGCTTTAGGTAGATCTTTATTAGCTTACGACGTTACGGAGTTTCTTATAACCTGGAAGGCGAATGTGAACAAAACGGACAAGTATGGCTACACGCCGCTCCACATCGCCGCTCTCAATGAACTTTCTCAATGCGTGGATATTCTAATTCAGCATGGAGCGGATCTTAGTGCTAGAACTAAGGGCGGCACCAGTGCTCTGTCCATCATCTTGCGCAAGACGCCGACGTCCTTGAACGTTTTCAAACAACGACTCGATGCCTCGATAACGCTTCATCAACACGGATCGGCAACGGGAGAGGTGGAGCTCCGACTCGATTTTCATCCCCTGTTGATGCATCAGCAGCAAGGCGAGATTAGGTATCTGGGAACATTCGTGAAAGAGGGGTACAAGGAGATTTTGGAGCACCCGCTGTGCCAGGCGTTCCTCCATTTAAAATGGCAGAAGATTCGAAAGTATTATGTGGGTAGGCTGGTCTTCTACCTGTTTTACGTTCTCATACTCACAGGTTGGGTAATGACTGCCTTGGCGCATAACTGTTACAACGAGTCGCACGGGCAATTGGATAATAATCAGCGGCCATTGTGTGCAAATACCACTGGAATCAACGGGTTTCTGTACAGGCATCCAGTATTGCTAGAGCTAGAATGGTACGCGCTAATGGTGCTGACCATTCTAGAAGCGTTCCGCAAACTGACCAGCATTCCGACTTATCTGTCGGTCCGCCAATTCTTTACCCAAGCGGAGAACATGGTGGAATGGTGCGTTATACTGAGCGTGTTCGCCACGTCCTTCATTTACACAGGCAGAACGTACGCGTGGCAGAATCACGTAGGGGCATTCGCGGTTCTCTGCGGATGGAGCAACCTTATGTTGATGATAGGACAATTGCCGATATTTGGAGCATACGTAGCGATGTTCACCAGCGTTCAAGCGCAAGTGTTCAAACTTCTGCTGGCCTACGCGTGCCTTCTAGTAGGTTTCACTGCCAGCTTCTGCGTGATCTTCCCACGTTCCAAGTCCTTCAGCAGTCCACACATTGGTCTGATCAAGGTGCTGGTTATGATGACTGGGGAGTTGAACTTCGAGGACCTGTTCTTCCCTAGGGAAGAGGATAGTACGTCCATGGATTCAGGTGGCACCTCGTGGATTCTGCTGCAAGTATCGGCACAGTTGTCGTTCGTGCTGTTCCTGTTATTCGTCACGATTGTATTGATGAATCTGTTAGTTGGCATTGCGGTACACGATATAAAAGGACTTCAGAAAACTGCAGGTCTGGCGAAACTCGTCAGGCAGACTAAACTCATCTGTGATGTGGAAACCGCTTTGTTCCTCGGACTGATGCCAAAACGATTAACGAAATTCTTGCGCTGGACAGCGCTGTTGTTGCCGTCGCCCTTGAGAGCGGTTCTAACCGTTCGACCCCTTAACCCAAGAGAAACTAGGCTGCCTCGTGATTTATTATTCGCCGCCCACAAGGTCGCGAAGGAACGGAAAAATATGTCTGGCACGTTGTACAGCAGAAAGAGCACCAACACGATGCAGACGTATCTAAAAAGCGATTCATTCTCGACATTCCGTCGACGATTACCCGAGGAAGACGTTGTTAACATGGATGATTACATGATCAAAGGAGAGCTGGCTGAAGTGAAGCAAATCTGCGAGAGGAATCAAAAACTCCTTCAAGATCTACTGATGCATCTGGTAATGAATAAGCGCGGTAGCAAAGAAGAGGATGAGAATAATTAAGACATTTAGTCTTCGAATTCCTGGAACGTTGTGCTTGAAATATATCGTGCGAACGATCTGAAGAACTCGGAATCGCTGGATCGATTTCAGAGATGATTTCAATTTACGTGGAAATTGTATATACTGTTTTTTCAATTTTAGGAAACTATTTTCAAGTTTTATATGGTGAAAAGTTATATCGAATATTGCAGTTTTTGAGATACTTTTTATGGTCTGACGTGATCTTTCGGTGAAGATGAAACGAAACAACCGAAAATAATAAACGATGGAGTCATCGCAAATTAATTAACTTCAGGGACGATTGTTAATGTTGTTTATTTGAAATCGATACCTGTAAATTGCAATTTTTATATTTCTGAATTTTAAACTTTTAGATGACCAATTTTCTGAATTTCTAAATTTGCAAGTTTTCAAGTTTTTACTTTTGTAAACTTTCTACATTCTCATGTTTCTATATTCTGAAAAAATTTCCAGAGGTAAAGATAAAAGATGACTAGATAATAATAAGATAATAGAAATTAAAATCTGTGGAAATTTTCTTAGAAGATATAACATTAATGTACAAAATATTAGTGCATACACATGACACAAAAATAGTAAAGATTTTTCAATCTAAACAGTTTTCATTAGTGTTCTTTCGTTGTTTGTGTGTCAAGAACACATGGAATAATTTCGCGTCCGAGAACGAGAAAGTTTTTATACTTCATGGCTGAAAAATTGAAAGTTTCGAAATCTTGTTGTTTCGTTTGGAATAAATTATTCGTGCTCAATATTTGTAAAATATTGTAATGTAGGAAGATATTGAATTCCGTCCATAAGATGAATAAATGTAAAAATTGTAGAAATATGTAAGAATAAATTATTGAACTTTTAAAATATTTTCATACTTAATATATGCAAACATCTTGACTGCACAAACGATTTATCTGAAACATGATTTTTCTGCTGAATTTTAATTTCAATAAAATATAAATTATTCCCTAGTTACATGTTTTAGCTTCAGAACAATTTTATTTCATCTAATGCCACCGTGTAGATCTCTGATCAGAATTTTTAAAACAACTTGTATGTGACATTTGATGAAGATAATTAATATGTTGGTGAACGGAAAATACCTATCATTCTTAAAGGTGTACGCTCAAAGATAGATAAAAAAGGAATAATTGATATTTTGCAGAAGATACATCTTATGTAACTCACTGTAAAAGGTGTGGAAATATTTCTTGACATTTTGACAGCTATATGTTTTGCTAATTCTTTATTGCTTTTTGTAATTTATCTGACAAGTCGATAATTTAATAACGATGATTGCAAAATTATTAATTTTTGAATTATAGGTAGAATGCTTGTGTAGTAGTTATTTATACAACAGATTAGTATGGTAGTGATTATCTTTAAGGTAGATACTGTGATAGTAGTTATCTGTAAAGTAGATATTGCTATGGTAATTAGCTACAAATGCTGTTACGTTATCTAATGCTGTTAAATTATCTACAGATACTGTTATAGAAATTATCTTTGAGGTAGATACTGTGATAGTAATTATCTGTGAGGTAGATATTGTGGTAATAATTATCTATAAAGTAGATACAATTGTATTAATTATCTAAAAAGTAGATACTGTGATAATACTTATCTATAAAATAGATACTGTTATAGTAATTGTCTATAAAATAGCTACTACAGTAGTAACTATCTAAAAATTAGATGAAATATAGTTAATTATCTATGAGGTAGATACTGTGATAGTAATTATCTGTAAAGTAGATACTGTTATAGTAATTATCTATGAAGTAGACACTGTGATAGTAATTATCTGTGAGTAAAATACTGTAGTAATAATTACCTATAAAGTAGATACTATTATACTAATTATCTATAAAGTAAATACTATGATACTAATTATCTATAAAATAGATACTGTTATAGTAATTATTTATCCAGCAAATACCATGGTAGCAGTTATCTATAAAATAGCTACTACAGTACAATCTAAAAACTAGATAAAATATAATTAACAATAAAAATTGAACTAACTAAAAATTTTCTAGCCGAAAGAAAACAAACACAAAATTCCTTAAAGTACTATATTTTTGTCAAAAGTAGAAAAGCAAGTTAAAACCTATTTTAAGTACTGTTTCTTTCTACACAAAAAATAACCAATTTTCTATTTAATTTTGAAATCAAATTGAGCAAAATCAGGCTTTGAAATTTAATTTTTAAATTTAATTTGAGCAATCAAGCTTCGAAAGTTAAAAACACATTTGTTTTGAAGAGACAAATAACAGTGACAAAAACTAAAAATCAAAAACACTGACTGTCAGAGTGTTAAATCCCTCGATCATTCAAGTAAAATTAATGCTGCGAGCAACGCCGTTTAAACTTTTTTTTCCATGACTCTTCGAATTCATTATACATATGGAAAGTTGTGATCATTTATAAATGAATGTTCATAGTGACTGGTCTCGAACTTCCGGTTAGACCGTCATCATAATTTGACATTTAAAATTGATGGCTGTTTGTACCGTTGGATGAAAGAAAGAGTTTTGATTCTGAGAAATTCGAGAGAAGTATACTTATGTAAATATCATAGCTAAAATACTTTTTATAATTAGTCCATAACAGTTGCTGGGGTATGAAAAAGTTTGGTGTTAATTTTAGGCACTGTTTTGAAAATTTGAATAAATACTTTTTTTGAAATTCCGGTATTTTTACTATTTTTTTCCTGTGACTGTTATATCTCGCGTGTTCAGCTAAAATTTTAGCTCTTAGAACTGAATAAGAACTTAAATTTGGAACTTAGAACTTAGAATTTGGAACTTAATTGTGTGACGCACTTAGAACTCAAATTTTAAATACTCTTCGACATAAAATTTAGGTCCAACTATAATTTGCATAATTAAGAATCTCTGAATATAAAATACTCACATTTTAATTTTCTTTGTTTATTTTATGAATACTAATTTTGACTGACGCATCTGACAAATAAATTGTACGGTAAAGGGTTAAAATAGGAAGTTTTGAATCTTTTTATGAAAACCGTCATTTCTTCAATTTTTTCACGTTTCCGTTTCTTTTCACGTTCAACGTTCAAATTTATTGAAATATGCTAAAATAGCTTTCAAAGATTATTTATAATTTTTGTCAACTTAAAATGAGTAGCTTTTGTGTAGGAAGCATGTTTAGTATAAATGAGCAGTTTTTTATAAGAAGCATGTTAGTAGCTGCGGTTTCATTAAATCAATAAAATTGTAATAAAATGGTCAATAATGTCTAGACATCTAGTATTTCAATCTTGTATTTTATCACAATCGGAAGTATAAATTAGTCAGAAGTGATTTTATGACACTTTTTGTGGGAGATATAAAAATGTAGACGACAATGTCATCCTTTATTTTTATCTGAATAGGAAGTTGAATACACACATTTTATAAGTCTTGTTTTGACATCTCGTGTTTCACGATAATGTCCTTGTAAACGAAGGTATAGTTAAACTTTTTATATAAAAGTAAAAACATAATATCTTTAGTAATATACGCGAATAAAAGATGTTTGTATACAGTAGAATTCCACAAACTTTTATATTCACAGGTTAATTTTTGAAAATGGTAATTCTTCGAAATTCAGTGTTTCAAAATTGTGAGCCATGAATTTCCTGAATTTCAAAATTAAGAAGTTAAAAATGCAAAATCTCCAAAATTCCAATATTTTAAAATTTTCAAATTCTAAAACTCTCAAATTCCAACACTCTCAAATTCCAAAACTCTCAAATTCCAACACTCTCAAATTCCAAAACTCTCAAATTCCAAAACTTTCAAATTCCAAAACTCTCAAATTCAAAAACTCTCAAATTCCAAAATTCTCAAATTCCAAAACTCTCAAATTCCAAAATACTCAAATTCCAAAATTCTCAAATTCCAACACTCCCAAATTCCAAAACTTTCAAATTCCAAAACTCTCAAATTCAAAAACTCTCAAATTCCAAAATTCTCAAATTCCAAAACTCTCAAATTCCAAAATTCTCAAATTCCAAAACTCTCAAATTCCAAAACTCTCAAACTCTAAAACTTTCAAATTCTAAAACTCTCAAATTCCAAAATTCTCAAATTCCAAAACTTTCAAATTCTAAAACTCTCAAATTCCAAAATTCTCAAATTCCAAAATTCTCAAGTTCCAAATTTCTCAAGTTCCAACACTCTCAAATTCCAAAATACTCAAATTCCAAAATTCTCAAATTCCAACACTCTTAAATTCCAAAATTCTCAAATTCCAAAATTCTCAAACTCCAAAATTCTCAAACTCCAAAATTCTCAAACTCCAAAATTCTCAAATTCCAAAATTCTAAAATTTCCAAATTTTCCAAAATATCAAACTCCCAATACTAGTATTAGAGGCTTAATATGAATGTTGCAACTCTTAACAAAAATTAACAAAATTCCTCAAATTTAAAAAAAAATTAAAATATGAGAATATTAAAGCACTTTATATTTAAACTAATATACTATTATTTAAAACAAAACCCTAAAACCCATGAAACTAACATAAAATAATTATACCAATAAAAATACAGTAGTCATTACAATATTAACCATACACTTTAAATGTTTAGTATTAAAGGCAAAACTTGTTGACAAACATTCGTTGAAAATTTATGAAGCTCCGGATGAAATTAAATATTTTTTTCATTTAAACGAATGTTTAAAAATGTATATTCCTATAGTGTCTACACAGCAATTTAAAAAATTATCATTCTGTTGCTCAAGAATTTTGCGTAACCTTCGGTATTTTCGTAACATCAAGCATGTTATGCAAGATGTTTGAGCACCAAAAATGAAAAAGACGTCAAACGAAGGCGGAATGCAAATTTATAAAAGTAATATGTTAATCAATCGGTATAACGGTTTCTTATAGTGTATTTTTAAGTTTTAATGAAATGTTGAATGTGGACCTATAAATATCTCCTATAATCAATTCCTTTAACGAAATTGTTTTACATTAACCTTTGGACAGTGAAAAGCATAAATTTATTTTAATTTAATTAAGGACTTTTATATTTTTTGCACGATCATTTATTGCTTTGGGCAGTGGTGTATATGCGAATGTATTGAGTTGAAATGTTTTAGGAGAAACATTGTAGAAATCATTTTTTGGGAAAAAATGTGTAGGGAAAAGTTTCCATGTTATTAGCAATTATTCAAATTTTCATTTTGTCAAATTTCTAAATCCACAATAGTAAAATATCGATATTTCTAAATATCCAAATTTTCAGATTCTCAAATTTCTAAAATTTCCAAACTTCCAAATTTATAATTCTTTGCTTTTTAAAATTGACACACTTATAAATTTCTACGTTTTCAAATTTCTAAGATCATAAATTTTTAGATTTTCAGATATTTAAATTTCTGAATTTCCAGGCCTTCAGTTTTCAAATTTCAAAATTTTCAGTTCCTAGATTTTCACATTTTTAAATTTCTAAATTTCCGAGTATGCAATCCTAGAATTTACAAACAATCAAAACCTCAAGCTCTAAAATTCAAAATTGTCCTAATTCCCAAACTTTCAATTTTCTAGAATTTATAAACTCACATATTTATACATTTTCAAAATTCCAAATCTCTCCAATTCTTGATATCTTTTAAATTTCCAAATCTCTCCAATTCTTGATATTTTTCATATTTTCAAATCTCTCCAATTCTTGATATTTTTCAAATTTCCAAATCTCTCCAATTCTTACTATTTCTCAAATTTCCAAATCTCTCAAATTCTTGATATTTTTCAAATTTCCAAATCTCTCCAATTCTTGATATTTTTCAAATTTCCAAATCTTTCCAATACTTGATATTTTTCAAATTTCCAAATCTCGCCAATTCTTGTCATTTTTCAAATTTCCAAATCTCTCCAATTCTTAATATTTTTCAAATTTCCAAATCTCTCCAATTCTTGATATTTTTCAAATTTCCAATTCCCTAAATTTGATGACTCTAAAATCCCTGAGTCTCAAATCGTAAATAAATACCTGTTTTACATTTTTTTCTCTTATAAGTAAATACCTACTTAACATCTGTTTTCTCCGATAAATAAATACCAACTTATTTTATTTAACACTAAAGCTACCAAACCGGTCAAATGAGCGCTCCACAAGTTTCTTATTATAAGGTACACATTTTGTTAAAAAACATTCCTTGAAATCAGTATTGATTTTCAACGAGACAAAGAATAAATGTGTGTACTATTTTATGTTTCTTCGTTTATTTATTTATTTCTTAAATTCATTTTTAATTTCTAACTAAGTATACATTATATGTCGGTATGTTTAGTGTTAATAATTCTACACATGTGGAATAGCTGTTATGTACATATGGTTGAAGAAGAAAGAAGGTTGAATACGATGTATACTGATCTAATGTTTGCATTACGTTTTCAACTACGGAAACGCTTGATAACTTCTAAGTATCCGACTACCAATTAATTTTCCAATGATTAGCCGTTTAGTCGTAACCTCTTCCCACTAATATCTCTCCACTCATCTAGTTAACAAGACTCTTTAATCGTAAACGTAAAATCAAGTTCTTTTTTAGTCCTTTCCTTGCATAATTAATCTGTTTAGCAAAAAGTGATTAGTCATGCAACACTTGCATACAAACATGCAAATCTTTAACGAAGATTGTTTATCTTATTCTAAGGAAGAACGTTTGCTCATAGCCACTCTATTTTGACTTACCAATAATAATTATTTGAACAAATTAATTCTGAGGTACTGTTTTAAATTATTGAGTTCAATTAATTCCGAGGTACTCTTTTAAATTATTGAGTTGGAAAATAGAATTAACATTAGTAATCTTAGTTCGTGTGGAATATATTCAGATGCGGTTGTTAGTATTCCCTGAGTACGCTTGAAGTACTCGAAAGAACTGGTTTCGTTGGAAATCAGGATTTGAACAAAGTCGATGT